CAGTCAGTAGTCAAGTCACTTGACTTCAGGGGAATTTTTTCACCCTGGTGCAATGCTTGCTTGTCAAGGCAGGCAGGCCTTGTGTGGCCTATGCAGTCCAATTGTAAGCTGAAAGTTGCTCAGAATATTTTGATATTACGGTTATACAAAAAAGGGAGGTCATAACATAAGTTAGCGTGGAAAGTCTGATTTTTCAGAGCAATTCCCCTCCATCCAGACCGTGTCTGACGACAGAGGTTGCATAGCTCGTGTCATTAACCTTAAACATATTTCTGCACCAAAAATGAAAGACAGAGACTATATAGGGGAAAGTACTTATATGTCACAGACTAATAAGAAGTTAATATACAAAATAGAAAAATAAATCTTTTAACTCAACAAAAGAAAACAACCTAATGAACCAATGGACAAATGGGCAAAGATTAAATGAACATGTATGCAAAGAAAGTAAAAATGCCAGATGCTCAGTATCACCAGTCAATAGAGAAATGCAAATAAAATCACAATTAGCGATGCATTATTAGCTACACATAATTTGATGTGCATTAGGATAGTTGCTATGAAAAGAACAGAGGAAACAATTATTGGTGAGGATGTGGAGAAACTAGAGACTCTGTATATTGTTGGTGAGTATGTAAAAAGCTAGAGTTGCTATGGAAAAATAGTATGGTGGTTCATCAGAAAGTTAAAAATCAATTTGCTGTATGATCTAAGAATCTCATTTCTGGGTATATGTCCAAAGTAACTGAAAGCAGAATCACAAAGAGATATTTATATACCATGTCCATCACAGCATTATTCAATGGAGACCAGATCAGTATAGCCCAGATGGATGTAACCCAAATGTCCATCAACAGGTGAATGGATTTTAAAAGTGTATATTTGTAAAATAGAATATTATTTTACCTTAGAAAGGAAGGAAATCCTGTTACATGCTACATATGGACAGACTTTGTTGGACATTATTTAAGTGAAATAAGCCAGTCACAAAATAGATGAATCCTTTCTGATTCCTCCTACTTGAGGTATCTAGGTAGTCAAAGTAATGCAAAAATAAGATAGAATGGTGGTTTCCAGGGTCAAGGGAGCCAGAGAAATAGAAAGTTGTTTAATGGGTATGGTTCTGGTACATTCAAATAGTGTGAATATACTGACACTGCTGAACAGTACATTTAAGAACAGATTGATAGACTTTATTCTCACTACAATTGAAAAAAAAAAAAAAACAAAACACCCAATCTCTTTATGGTGTTTTCTAAGATGCTACATGATCTGGTCCCTGCTTAATTCTCAAAAATTGTCTCTTACAGACTGTTCTACAAGTCCTCACCCCTAGGGCACTAAGAAATGGAAAAAGGAACTGGTTAGAAAGAAAATTTTGTTTATCTCTATACAGATTCACTGAAGTAGTAAGGCTAGTTCATTACTATAAACTTTCTTTATTATGTTCCTTTATTATTGGAACGTTTCGGTTCTAAACTTTTCTATGAATTTCATATCATAACTTCTCTACAGAAATAGCTGTTTCCAAATCACAAATATCAAGTTATCAAATTAAGGAACATACTTCCTTCCTTATTTTCTTAACTATTTTAGGATATTTGAACTGTTGAAATATTTGTAACACTCCCCTTTTCAGTGCAAAGAGAATGAACTTGGAGGACAGACAGTTTTTAGATCTTATCTCCACATCTATTTGTTATGTGGAAATGGGCAGAACTTTAAATGGTGGGTTTTTTCAATGTTCTGTCCTTGTTTTCTACTCCCAACCTGCTCATTTCGATCATGTTCATAGCTTCGCCCATAGTGGTAAACATTTATTTTAGGAATATCTAAGAACTTTTAATGTATCTACTTAATCTCAGTAAAGTTAAGGGAGTTACTGCTATCATCTAACTTTTTTTGATGAGGTAACCAAAACACAGCCATCTTGAGTAGCTGTGTAATGTACATAGCAAATTAATGAGAAAACTGAGGATTTGCATAGAGAGTATTTGGCTCTAGAGTCTTCACTTTTAAGCAATTCAGTCAAATATCTATGTACAGATCAGTCAAGCCCTGATCACTTACTTAAAATATAGATATTTTTATCTGTTTGTTCATAGGAAAACTCCACCTTAGTTTCTTTTGGGACTTGCAAATTCACGATGTTCAAAACTTAGCCCGTTGAATGACCTCATCCTTTATCCAATTGCCCAATATAGAATTCTAGAAATAACTAGATTCCTTCCTCTTCTTTATCTCCAGATTCAAATGAGGATCCTGTTCTGTTGACCTCATTATTTAATACCCCACCACCTCTAATCTGGTTCAGAAAATCATTTCATCTTTCCCTTGGACCACTGTCTTCTAAATAGGCCTCCCAACCTCTTATCTTGTCTAGATCATCAAATGTTTAATATAGACATATGATTAAGGTATCCTGAGCATAAACCGTCAATAGTTTAATCCAGTGGGTAAAATCTAAGCAACCATCTGTAGTGAAACCCACAGAATGGTGTTTTTGAACTGTGATGAAAAACCAGGGTTTATATTTCCTATCCATCAGGGATTGACACAGTAAAGTTAGTCACACACTTTGGTATTGCACTTGTCAGGGCCAAGTTGTTATAAAATGTTTTTAAATCTTCACCCTCAATTTCTATGCTTATCTTGCTCTGCTATGTAACACAATTTGCAGATCAATAATGGAGTATGGACCTACTCAGAGTCATACCATAATCAAACTGTAATCAGATGAAAGTTTACAGTTTGATTATGATGCAGTTTGATTATGAATGGTAAGCTGTGTTGGGGTAAGCTCTGTTTGACTTCTTTTTCTCCCGATTTTACTACTCTGTATACTTTTGCCCACTGATAAAGTTATGGATTGACATACTTAGGGGAGTTTTTAGGTGGTGAAAGGAGAGATAGGAAGACGGGTACTAAACCTTAAGATTGTATTAATCATGAGAAAACTTAGAAAGATTTAATTATTTTGCATGAAAATTGTTGCCTCATTTGTGAGAGATTGGTTGATGAGATAAGGAACTGAGTCAGAAGCAAACTTTATAAAGGAAGGATAGAGAACAGAGAGAGAGTCTGAGATGTTCCTAGTGATCTTCTTTACTCCTTTTTGGGTAAACAGTTTTCTGTGAGCTAGCAAAAAAATACTGTCTGGTAATTCTACCTTTGAATTAGCAGTGATAGGGAGACAAAACAATTTCAGTTGTTTTTGAACTCTTCAGAACATATTGAGGGTTTAGCTGTAGAGTACATCAATGGTCTGGCTCTGCTTGGAGTAATGTGTGTTGCCATCCTGCCGTCAATATCTCGGTTTAGTTATGCTATGTCTGCACTATTTTCTTATAATAAATTTGAATGCTTGAGCCTGTGATTTCAGCCTGATAACTTCTAGAAAAGGGCCTCAGGCAGAAGCTGAATTAACTGGCTGTGCAAGTTGGACGCAAATAGCAAATCCTGTTACAGAATATGGAGAGAGGCATTCTCTTCATATTTATGTCTGTGATAATTCAGTAAGGTCTGCTGGCTTGCATATTTGGGATTTTACAGCATTTAAGGGGCATTTTAAATCTAGGATGACATTCCAGCGGAAAGCAAGAGATTGGTATGGCATCTGCCTCTTTGGAGTGTTATAGGGAGAGCAAAGTTAGACATATATTATTATGTGAGGTTAATCAGAAAAAAAGCTTACTTGTTGCTTTTCATTTAATACCTGCCTTCTTGGAATCATTTAAATTCTGATAATCATTTTCACTTTAGCTTGATTTATTCAAGAAAAAAAGGGGTTAAAAGGAGGGAGCTTTAATAAGTGCTTTTAGAAAATCACTAAATTCAGTTAGGAGAATTGAGAGCCAATTGTTTTTTACACATGGATTATTTGTGGGAAATACTTATATGCAAAATCAGAAAATGGCCTACATAGTCTCTAATATGCCCTCTGCTCTAATATTACAAAGAATAAAAAAGTGGATGTGATTCTCAAGAGAGATTCCTTTTATTTCTGAAATTCCTTCACATTTATACTATTATTTTTTACATCTCCTTGTCCTTTTTACCAAATAATTATGTAAAGGAGGGCATTTTCTTTATGGCTTTTCCTTTATCAATGACAGTTTCATAGCTACACTAGTCTTTATTGTCTTTGGAAGAAGGACCAGTTTCCTGTTCTTGATTAACTAGGCCAAAAACAAAAGAGTAGATATTTAAATAGTATTCATGGCAGAGCAAAGGCTTTTTTCCATCATGACTAACTATATGATTATATTGGAGAAAACATAGAATTTGAAAATTACTTTGCCTTTAGAGATATAATTATTACTCTATGAACTTCTCAGCCATTTGGGTATATATATTGCTTCCATTATACAAAAGAGATGTAATTTGAGATATAGAACAGTAAATGCTTACATATTGATGAGAAATAAGCTTATAAGAGACAATTTGTATCGTATGATCAGCTATTTATTTTGAATTTGAATGCAGCATACAGTCATTGAAAATTATAAGCCCAACTTAATTTAATGAATGTAGAGTAACAGATAACCAATAGAAAATGAAAAGGGAAAGATTAATTGAACACCAAGGTCAACAAAGTAGCTATGGATGCGGAACGGTTAAATTTGTTATTTTTGGTTTCTGTGAAATATTTGGTAATTTCAATGATAGAAATCTTGAGATTTGCACAATGGGCATCTGATAAGGAAAATATTTTCTGGATTCCCAGCCATTCAAAGATACAATCGATTTTTAAAAATCGCCCAAAACTGAAGTCCAGATTTCTGAATGTAAATAAAAAGCACCCAAAATAGAAGCATAGAAATATAACAATTATTAAGAGAAATAGAAGAAACCTTCACATATATTGGAATTTTTGATTCAAAGAGGTGTATATATGCCTATTATGATTTGTAGGAATACGTTTTTATTGGAATCTCACTCGTAATAATAGTAACTGCGTGACAAACAAAATCCTAACTGCTTTGAAGTATCACTAAAATGTGACTTTCCATTGTTAGTGGATGAGTGACTACTCTGGATTGATTTGTGCTTTCTTGAACTAGTTCCTGTGTCGTCTAATGAGGAACCAGACTGAGCATCAGAGAATTCTGACTGGTCCTCGCTGTCACTGGAATGACTGAGGCTGGATCCCCGGTGCCTGCTGCCACGGGACCCTGAGGTGGTTTTTCCGTGTCCGGTCCCTGCGTGTCTGGCGGTGTCTCCGGACTGCCCACGCCCGTGCCCCTGCTTGTCTGTGGTGGTGGATCCTGACTGTGTGCGGGTGGAGTCGGAGTGCCTGTGAGGGGCGGTGTTTCCTTGGTGGGGTCCTTTGTTCCCCGTGCTG